CGGGGTGGGGGGGGGGGGTAGCGGCGGCGGGGGGGTGGCATCTGCCAGTTTTGATCGGCCCAAATCCCCCCCCACCCCGGAACAACGATAACGAGCAGCACGCGGCATCTGTTCGATGACACGTGGCGGCGTCAACAGTGGCAGCGGTTAACGGCGGCGGTTAACGGCGGCCGTTAATGACGACGGTTACCCGTGACAGTTAACGGCAACGGTTAACAACTGCGGTTGTTAACGGTAGCGGTCAACTACGGTGGTTAATGGCGGCGGTTAATGGCGGCGGTAGCGGAGAGAGGCGCTGCCGAATCGTTGGAGTTGAGTCGCCAAAATAATTCTCGACCCACGTCGTGAACCGGCGCCGGCCACGCCAGCAGGAGCGTGAACGACACGCACGGTGGGGGTGAGGGGGGGGGCTCGGGGGGGTGAGGGGGGGTGAGGGGAACATTTTGCCAACGGCCGCGGTACCACGGTCGAGCAAAGCCGAAGTGTCCACCTCCTCGCGCTCCGTCCGCCCATCTCAGGGCGATCCGCCCACCCCTCGCTCGGGACTCAACGCGCACGCCGCTACCGGCAGCCCGTGGCGGGGGAGAGGACGAGAGAGATTCCACCGGACCGGCCTGCGCTGCAGCGGCCCAGCCTTGTCTCTCCGGGCGAGAAGACGACGACGAATCTCAGCACGGACGGACACCGTTTGCTGTTCCGCACCCGCCCCCCCCCCCCCCGCTACAACCCCCTTCCACCAGCGTCTCATCCGCATCTTCGTCGTCTCCTTCTCCGCCCGTCCAGGGGTCCGGCGCGTCGCGTTCCATCCGACGCGTTCCACCCGACGCCTTCCATCCGACTCGTTCCATCCGACGCGTCGCCCTCAAAATCCGCCGGGGTTCCTTTTCTGCGGCACCGGTCAATTTCGCCAGCCATCAATTTTCTCCATCCATCCATCCAGGCCGTGATCGTTGATAATTGGAGGGGGAGGGCGGCCGGGGGCAGCTGGCACCCACCAACACCCGTGGCATTCTGGGAACCCCCAAGCTCGCGTCATGCTCAACGAACGCCAAGACGGCTGCACCGTCGCTCGGTAACAAAGCCAAAACCTCGCTCCTCCCTCCCTCGACCCCACCTCCTCCTCCTCACCGTCTCCATCTCCCGGGGAGAGACGAGATGTCATTCGGCCACTGTCGGGACCTTCCCGCAAACTGGGCTCCGGTTACCAGGGCCGGCGACGACCTGCGGTGAGCGGAGTGGCCACCGCGGGTGAATTTGCCGTAAAGTTTTCTCCCCGAGTTGAACCACCACGCTTGGCCCATCGCAATCCCAACTGCGTTGCTGCTCAGGTGAAGTGGCCGCTTGCCCCGACCTCCTGGGTTCAATCCCAGAGTTGGCGAGGGGGTGGAAGGGAGGAAGGGGGGCGGCGGCATTTCCGCACAGCACAGATGCTCGCTGCACCATTAAAATCGGCGACAGGAAGGGATGTCGTCATCATCCGGGACGCCAAGACAACCAGCCGGAACCCGCCCCACCAGCGGCCCCGGGTCAAAAACCCATGCTCTCCCAGCTGGGCTGCGGTTTAACGGCGACGATCCCACCGGGGTCGCACCCACCAGATTCACACCGCCGAAATCACACCGCCGAAGTCACACCACTGGAAACACACCACCGAAATCGTAACCACCGCAAAAAACACACCACCAGAATCACACCGCCGAGAAACACACCGTCGGAATCACGCCACCAAAATCGCACCGCCGGAAATACTCCGCCGGAATCAGACCGCCAGGCAAATGCCGCCGGTGTGGCCACGGACGGGGGTGGAGGGGGAACGGTCAAATATCGCACGGGTCACCCCCCAGCCCCAAGCCGAGCCCCAGGCCCTCGCCGGCGCCGGTGCCAGCTACCGCCCGGAACGGCGCCCCGTTCTGCCCGCCGGCCGTGCTGCCGGCGAGGGAGGGGCCCCGAGCGGCGCGTCCGCTGGCGGCGCAGGCGGCGCAGACGGCGCCCGAGAGGCGACGGAGGCCGAGGCGGAATCCGCTGGTCGAGAGGCTGTAGACGAGGCAGTTGCAGAAGCTGTTGCTGATCGCCAGCCACGTGGTGAGGAAGGAGACGGGCGCGCTGTCCACGAGGCGCGCGCTCTCCAGCAGCAGGTAGGCGATGTAGGGCAGCCACAACGCGTAGAACACGCTGGTGATGCGGAACAGCACCGTGGCGTAGCGCCGGTCCGGCGCCGAGTTCGCCGTGCCCGCCGACGACGCCGCCGACCTGCCGCTCCCCCCGCCGCACGGCCCCGGCGCCCCGCGTCGTCCGTCGTCGTCGTCATCGCCGCCGGCGTCGGCGTCGCGGTTGGGGAATCGGGCGCGGCGCTCGCGGATCTGCCGCGTGTGCTGGCGGCAGATGCGGAAGATGCGCGCGTAGGTGAAGCACACGACGGAGGCGGCGGGCGCGTACAGCGCGCACACCACGAACGCCGTGTAGGCCGCGTTGGTCCGCCAGGAGCGGGCGCACCAGCCGAACACGTCGCCGTGGTAGCCCGGCTTGCCCCAGCCGAAGAACGACGGCGCGAACACGGCGCACGAGTAGAGGCACACCGCCGCCACCGAGCAGCGCACGCGGCACGGCGTCACCAGGCGGCCGTACGAGAGTGGCCGCGTCACCGCCAGGTAGCGGTCCAGGCTGATGCAGGCCAGGCAGGCCACCGACACGCTCTTGAGCACCGACACCACGTAGCCGAAGGCCTTGCAGGCGAGCCGCTCGCTGAGGCCCCACGGGGGGCCGTAGTGGAGCAGCGAGAGTGTGGGCACCAGGCAGGAGAGGCCCACGCTCAGGTCGGCGTAGGCCATCGTGCGGATGAAGTAGCTGGTGGTGTGGTGGTGCAGCAGCGGCGCGCAGTGGAACACGAAGATCACCGTGAGGTTGCCGGCGACGATCAGCGCCGTGAGCAGCGTGAGCACCGCCGCCTCCAGGACGCACACGTCGCCCGCGTAGCGCTGCGACAGGCCCAGCGGGCACGGCTGGTGGTGCCGCTCGCCACCGCCCACGACGCCGCCACCGCCACCCACACCGCCGACGCCGCCGGGGCCGCTGCCGTTGGCGCCGGAGCCGGACGCGGAGACGCCGCCGCCCCACGGCGAGCTGCCGTTGCCGCCCTCCCAGGAGGAGAAGCCGCCGGAGGAGCCCGGCGCGGACGAAGCCGCCGCGGACGATGCCGCGGACGACGCCATCGCGGGCGGGCGGGCGACCGTTGCCGGGTCGTTAGGATGCCCGGCCGGCGAGGCGCTGGGGCCCGGACAACGGAGGCGACATCATCCCCCCCCCCCCCCCCCCGCCGCTTGCGATTGGCGATGGATGGTGAGCGACGAGATATTTTCACCGTGTTTTGTTGTTTTGATTTTATCCAGTTGTTGTTGTTTTGTTGTTCACCTCGCCTGTCGCGATTAGATGGCCATGCTCTTGTTCGTTCGATCGTCCTCCTGGCCGCGGTGATTCATCGGCGACGTTCGCTTGCGCTGACCCGCGTCTCGTGGCAACGATTCGTTCCGTCGTCTCCCAGAAAAATTTGTATCCAAAATTCGCGATGGTGGCAGCGGCGGTGGTGGCGGCGCTGGTGGCGGCGCTGGTGGCGGCGCTGGTGGCGGCGCTGGTGGCGGCGCTGGTGGCGGTGCTGGTGGCGGTGCTGGTGGCGGCGGTGACGGCTCCTAGAATGCGTCGTTCCTCAGGCGAGCTTGGCCTTGCCTCTGCTCCCCACGGCGATCTGGATGTGAATATCCCAGACGAGGCTCCACACGGGCAGCGCCAGCACCGTGGTGATGCGCACGAGCACGGCGCTGCGCTCGCCGCCGCCGGTAGCGAGCAGGCCGGCGGACACGGTCAGCGCCATGGGAGAGACGGCGCGGTGCGTCGGTGCGGCGGTGGGTGGGTGCGGTGGTGGTGGAGCGTCACTCGTAAACGAACACCTGCCCCCCCCCCCCCCCCCGTTTGCTCGCCCGCCCGCCCTCCTCCGCTAGGAAGGAGGGTGGGGAAAAAAACGAATATTGATTAAATAATAATAATGATAATAAAACACTTGAATAGTCGTCGTGGTGGTAGTGGTGATGATGACGACGGTGCTGTGGGTGTCAGGGTAGCTCTCCGCAGGAGGGAGCCCACCCAGGGAGCGAGTGATTTATCAGCGATCAGGAAAAAATATCCACAGCTGCCTCCGTCTCCTCCTCCTCCTCCTCGTCCCTCCGGCGCTGCTCCGTGCAGTTTTCTCCGACTCCGTGGGCTCGCGCCACGGACGGCGACGACGGTTCAATCCCAGGGCAGGGCTCGGCAGCAAACCGGCGGCTTCGACGGCGACGGTTGAAGGCGTCGTGACGCAGGAGCTCCTCCGGTGAGCTTCGCCGTTTTCTTGGCGACCCACGTCTCCCGCGTGGCCCCCCTCACTCTCCCGCCCGTCCGCTCAATCGCGTGTCCTCGCCGCGGGTTGAAGCGGCGGACGGCGTCCGTCGGCGAGGCAGAAACCGCTCCTCATCGTCCCACCACCACCACCCCCTCCTCCTCCTCCTCCCCGCGTGCACGCGAGCACCGGCCGGACGGACGAAATCCGTTGCGGTCAAAATAAAATCTCGGCGGTGGAGGCGGCCGCCGGATCGTCGCTCGGCGCAGCAGAAATTGTGCAAGGGTGCTCACCCGCTCGCCCGCTCGCCCGCTCGCCCGCTCGCCCGCTCGTTGGCTCGTCCGTTGCTTCGTGCTTTCTCGTTTTAATTTTCAGTCACCACCGTCGTCGTTGGCGATGCCGGAATTCATTTCCCTGTCACTCGGCGGCGCCGGAGCGTTGGCGGAGCCGGCGGCGACGGTGAGAAGCGGGGCGAGCGAGCGCCCGACAGCGTCGCTGATCTTCATTAATTTCATCCAACGCTTCGTTACGACGGAGTCCCGCGGGACCGGAGGGGTAGGGGGCGGGGGGTGTGGGGGGTGGGGGTGGGGGAGGGGCGGTGGGGAATGGAGGGAGGAGGAGCCGGGAGCTCGGCCGATCTCCGACGGAGAAGCGAGAGGGACGCGAATTCTTCCGCGCGATCAGCACCTCGGGACGATGGAGCCGCGTGCCGGACCGAGGACGGGCGGCCTTAGCGGCAGGAGGCGCTGCGCTTGCACCGCAGCCCTCGCCGAGGCCGTGCCGATGGCGAGGCGAGCGGGCGGCAGAGCGCGCCGAGGCGAACGTCGCATCCGAGCGGAGACGGACGCGACGGATGGAGATGACCGAGAATCACGCACGCACCACGCACCATGCACGCACCACGCACAGCGCACGCACGCGCGCGAGATCGTGTACACGCGGTCGCGTGCGCGATCACCGCGACAGAGACGGAGACGGAGGGGATGGTTTTAAGGCGAGAGCTCCCGTGGAAATTGTGCACGGCAGAGACGCGGCCCGGCGTACTGCTCTCCTCTGCGCAGCGCAAGAGAGCGCGGGGAGGGAGAGCGCGGCGAGAGAGCGAGAGAGAGAGCGAGAGAGAGAGAGAGCGAGAGAGAGAGAGAGCGTGTGTGCGCAGTGGCTGGAATCTAACACGCGGGCGCGCACGGAGCGGAGATGGAGCATCAGGCATCGAACTGCTTTCCTGCCAACGTGATTGGCACTCATTCACCCGACTCTACCCCCACCCCCATCACACCCACTGAGCTGCCCCCCCCCCTCCCACCACCTCCACCACCACCGTACTGCCCCCACAGTCACCCACCCCCTTCCCCTCAACAGCCCCCCAATCTACGCACCCCCCCCCACCACTCACCCAACGTCCACTCCCTCCTACACCCCCCACCCCACCACTCACCCCTACACCCCCCACCCCCACCACTCACCCCCCCACTCCCTCCTACACCCCCCACCCCCACCACTCACCCCCCCACTCCCTCCTACACCCCCCACCCCCACCACTCACCCCCCCACTCCCTCCTACACCCCCACCCCACCACTCCCCCCTACACCCCCCACACACACAACCGCCCACGACGCCTTGAACGCCCCCCCCCCTCCAAATGCCCCATCACCGTTGCCCTGGCAACCGTTGCCAAGGAGACGAACGCCCTCACACCCATCCCCTGCGTGGAACCCTGGTGACGGAGCCAGATGGATGGAACGAGGAGGAGGAGGAGGGTAGTTGCTGGTTATAGGGGGATGATGATCATGATGATGGTTGTGACATGGATGAGATGATGGTGATGACGGTGGTGGTGATGGCCTAGCGGTGGCGCAGCGGTTAGCGCTGCGCTGCGCTACGGGGTCGAGTCCCGCTAGAGGGCCAACACCAGTGACGATTATTTGAACCGGTCATGGGTCTCCCCTAGGTCGACTCAGCCTCAAATGAGTACCTGGAGCGGTGTGTAAACATCGCGACTAGGGAGACAAAGGCGGCCGGGCGTGGTGCTGGCCACCCACCCCCACGTGTGCCGTGCCGGCCTTCATAGGTGCTCGCTAACAGTACTTGCCCCTACAATCTGTCACACGCTTTACGGGTGACCTTTGTCTGGTGATGGCCGTGATGGTGATTGTAACAAGAGTGATAATGGAGATGGTGACAAGAGTGACGATGATGATAATGATGGTGATGTTAGTCGTCATAACGATGTTGCCGGTGGTGATGGTGATGACGACGTGGATGCACGTTGAACTTCTTTCGCGCTGTACGTAGAGAGGTGCAGGAAATAGTGATGATGGTTGGACTGATAGTGTGCTAATGACGCGGTGATGAGTGACGATGGCGGTGAGAATGAAGATGGCGATGATAACGGTGATGTTTGAGATGATGATGGTAATCGTGATGAAAATTTACGGTGAAAATTACAACGACGTTGAGGTTAAAAAAGGGCCTGGGTTCGATTCCTGGCGCCTGGCTGTGTGGAGTCTGCATGGTGGTTCACTCCCTGTACCGCAGAGTGTGAGCGCATGGATGGGTGAGTGTGTGAGTATGTGTGAGAATGTGTGATTGTGGGTGAGTGTGTGAGTGTGTGTGAGTGAGTGAGTGTGTGAGTGTGAGAGTATGTGAGTGAGTGTGTGAGAATGTGAGAATGTGTGAATGTGTGTGTGAGTGTGTATGAGTGTGTGTGTGAGTGTGCGAGTGTGTGTGAGTGAGTGTGTGTGAATGTGTGAGTGTGAGAGTGTGTGAGAGTGTGTGAGAGTGTGTGAGTGTGTGTGAGTGTGTGAGAATTTGTGAGAGTGTGTGAGTGTGTGAGAGTGTGAGAGTGTGTGTGAGTGTGAGCGAGAGTGCGTGTGAGTGTGTGTGAGAATGTGTGAGTGTGAGAATGTGAGAGTGTGTGAGTGTGAGTGAGTGTGTGAGTGTGTGTGAGTGTGTGAGTGCGTGTCTGATAGTGTGTGTGAGAGTGTGTGTGTGTGAGTGTGTGTGAGAGTGTGTGAGTGTGTGAGTGTGTGAGTGTGTGAGAGTGTGTGAGAGTGTGTGTGTGAGAGTGAGTGAGGGTATGTGTGAGTGTGTGTGAGTGTGTGTGAGCGTGTGAGAGTGTGAGAGTGAGTGAGTGAGTGTGAGTGAGTGTAAGTGAGTGTGTGTGTGTGAGTGTGTGTGAGTGTGTGTGTGAGTGTGCTTATGACCGGCTCCAGTTTAACAGCTGAGGTCTCACTCCGAATCAGTCGAGCGGCAATATCTTTTCATCGGTTGCGTAACGCTGTGTGAAAGCTACCTGGTCTGTCGCTCCGCACAAAACCTCAAGTCTTCTCGACAACAGTCATTCCCTCCCTTCTCTACGCTTGCGAAACGTGGACCCACCTAATGGAACATCTTCGCCGGTTGGAAACATTTAGGCTGGCCTGCCTACGATCCATCCTGGGTTTAACCAGGCTGGATTGTGTGAGGAGCTCACAAATCCTTGAAAGATCTGGGCAAAGTCCCATCGGTGAGCTCCTCCGGCAGGCAAGGCTGCGTTGGCTGGGTCATGTAGCCCGCATGCCCTGCCACCGCATGCCCAAGCAGCTTTTGTTCGGCCGGATCGAGGGGGCTAAACGGGCGCGGCACGGGCTAGAGAAGAGATGGAGTGATGTGGTACAGGAGGACGTGGAGCTGAGTGGACTTGCCGATGACTGGTACCAGCGGTGTCAAGATCGGTCTCTGTTGAGGAGGCTCGTGAAGGATGCTACTGGGCAGTTGGAGGCAGTCGCCCTCCAGCAACAGCAGAGGGCGGAGGAGCGACGCTCACAACAACGAGCGGAGCGGCGGTGGGCTAAAACGCAGCGAGTTGTCAGAGTGGGGAGTGCAGTTGGTGCATCTGCCGGTCATCTCAGTCAGTGAACCCCATGGCACCTGGGCTCTGTCCCGTGGCCTCTTGCCAGCGGCGAGCCACAAGGTGATGGCATCAAAGGGCACCTAGCCTGGCACGAGCGCCGTGGTGACGTCACCGCCACTCAGTGGCGAACGGCGGTTGTTGTTGTTGTTGGTGGTGCAGGATGAGGATGAGAAGGTTTCGTGAACTGCCGTTTTTTATGCGCGCAGGCGGATTATCACCACCGACATTGCTCACTATTGCCCAAGCAGTAATTAGTTACCATGGCAACAAAGAGCTACCCCCTCCTGAGGGAGGAGAGAGAAAACAAGTTGCCCATTGAGAGAAGAAGAGTCAAATGTTTGCAGCAATTTTATATTTGATATATAATATATATTTTATATAAATAGATATATTATATAAGGCACAAACAGGAGGAGAGATGTGAATCTTGCCCGGTGAAGATGGGGTGTGTGTCTGTGTGTGTGCGCGTGCGTGTGTCTGTGTGTGTGCACGCGCGCGTGTGCTGGGTGTACGTGCGTGTGCGCGCGTGTGTGCGTGTGCGTGAGTGTGCATGTGCGTGAGTGTGCGTGAGTGTACGTGCGTGCGTGTGTGTGCGCGTGTGCATGTGCGTACGTGTGTGCGTGCGCGCGTGTGTGAGTGTGCATGTGCGTGAATGTGTGTGCGCGTGCGCGTGTGTGTGCGTGCGTGTGCGCGCGTGTGTGCTGAGTGTGTGCGCGTGTGTGCACGTGTGTGTGCGTGCGTGTGCGTGCGTGTGTGTGTGCGCGTGTGTGTGCGTGCGTGTGTGCGCGTGTGTGTGCGTGCGTAAGTGTGCGCGTGTGCGTGCGCGCGTGTGTGTATGCATGAGTGTGCGTGTGTATGCGTGTGTGTATGCGCGTGTGCGTGCGCGCGTGTGCGTGCGCGCGAGTGTGCGTGTGTGTGCGCGCGTGAGTGTGCGTGAGTGTGTGTGCATGAGTGTGTGTGCGCGCGCGTTTGTGTGCGCGTGAGTGTGCGTGTGTGTGTGCGCGTGAGTGTGCGTGTGCGTGAGTGTGTGTGCGTGAGTGTGTGTGCGTGAGTGTGTGTGCGTGAGTGTGTGTGCGCGCGTGTGTGTGTGTGTGCGTGTCCGTGTGCACGTGCGTGCGTGTGCGTGTGTGCGTGAGTGCGTGTGCGTGGGCGTGCGTGCGCGTGTGTGTGCGTGCGTGTGTGCGCGTGTGTGTGCGTGCGTGAGTGTGCGCGTGTGCGTGCGCGCGTGTGTGTGCGTGTGTAAGCGTGTGTGTATGCGCGTGTGTGTATGCGTGTGTGCGTGCGCGCGTGTGCGTGAGTGTGAGTGTGCGCGTGTGCGTGCGCGTGTGTATGTGTGCGCGTGAGTGTGCGTGTGTGCGCGTGTGTGTGTGCGCGTGTGTGCGTGTGTGTGCGCGCGTGTGTGGGTGTGTGCGTGTGTGTGTGCGTGTGTGCGTGAGTGTGTGCGTGCGTGTGTGTGTGCGTGTGCGTGTGTGCGTGAGTGTGTGCGTGCGTGTGTGTGTGCGTGTGCGTGTGTGCGTGAGTGTGCGGCGGCGGCGGATCGGAACGTCGCCGAGAACGTCGTGTGTAGAGAAACTTGAGCCGGAGGCCCCGGGGAGACAGGCGTCTATGACGTCTCCTGGACAACCCCCATTTGGCGGAGCCAGGAAACTGAATCCTTACCCTCGGGGCTCCTCCAGAAACAACAAAAAACGACTGCGGGTGGCCACGTGGAATGTTCGAATGCTCGCTGCGGAGGAGAAGCTGCCACTCCTCTGTCGGGAGCTGGACCGGTACCGCCTGGATCTCTGTGGTATTCAGGAGGTCCGGTGGACCAGCTCTGGCTCCTGCCACCATGATGGGTGGACAGTCCTCTACTCGGGGCAGGAGACTGCCAAACAACAGGGAGTGGCTCTTCTTCTAAACAAAATAATGAAGGGGGTGTGGTGGGAGCGTGGCGGTGAGGTGTGGGAAGCTGTAAGCCCCAGGATACTTTGGGCTCACCTTCCCATCAACCAGACGCAAGGAGTGGTGGTCATGGTTACTTATGCCCCCACCGAAGACGAACATCCGTGGAGGGATGCAGGCAAGGCCGATGAGTCAAATGCCTTCTATGACCTTCTGTCACAGGTGCTGGCGAAAGTGGCCACTCGGGACAGAGTCATCTTGTTGGGTGACTTCAAT